TATATATATATATATATATATATATATATATATATATATTCAATACATTGAAAAAATAATTATGTAACATAATTTACACTTTTCATATTATTATATAGGTATAAATGAGTATGACGATCCATCACTGTCACTTGAAGAATCTCTCTTGGATACTTATAGAATTGACTATCATTATCGTCATCTCTTTTATCTTCAAGATGCAATTAAGTAAGTAATTTCTTTACATATCTAAAGAGATTATTTTATTCTCTTGCATGGAGCTTAAGATTTTTCTATTTGTTTTATTTCCATGTAAATACAGGAATGGCGTGAATGTAAAAGGATATTTTGCATGGTCTCTATTAGACAACTTCGAATGGCAATCAGGCTACACTATGCGATTTGGAATGAATTTTGTAAATTATAAAAATGGCTTAGAAAGATACCCGAAACTTTCTGCATTATGGTTCAAAAATTTTCTTAAAAACGAAATCAAACTTCAAGAAGATTGAATGTAATAACTTTGCTGTATGACATTCTTAAAAACTTGTATTTGTAAATATATGATAGTTGTTAAGATTTTTTTAATTCTTATATTAGACATTTTCTTATGAATTTGTAGTTCTCATAAATATTCTTATGGATTTATAGTTTTTGGAATTAAATCTAAATACAACATGTTGCAAACTTGTTATCAAAGAAGTTATTGAAATTTATTAAAGTTAAGATATCCTAAGAATGAAATACACTCCAATTTTACGACTATGTAAATATTTATTTTATAATTTGATTTAAAATAAAAAAGAAGTTATTACACTCACTGTGTATGATATATTATGAACCTTAAAAAAATGCAATATTTGTAATATTTGTAATGAACCTTAAAATAAAAATATTTGTAATTTTAAGAATATGAAAATATTTATTTTAAAATTTAATTTAAAAGAAAAAAAGTTATTACATTTATGTGTGTATAATTTATTACAAAGACAATAAATGTTTGAAATTAAAATACAATATTTGTAATGAACCTTAAAATAAAGAATACATTTTATTTTTGAAAAAAAAAAATTAACTTATTATAACAAAAACAAATCAAAATATTTTTATATTAGTATGAGATTGTTTATTATTGTGTGTCAAAAGTCTTCATATACACATCTTCATATTGGTATATCATATTGTCTATTTTTAGTTAAAATCATTTTTGAATTTATTTTTAATCATCACTTAAAAGATCTCTTATTAATAAAGAAAATTGTATGTTTATAAACTCATTTCCTCCTCTTATAATTAATTTGATTGTATCATAGCAGAATTATATCAATTACAACAACAAAATGATTGTCACAATCATAACATTACTCAATAAAAATTACCCTAAAACTCAATCCAACATCAGAACCAAAGGCTCAGTCTCCACTACTTTGCATACGAGCACCATAATTCTTAGTGTTTTTTGCATATAAGCACAATCCAAAGAATATTACCATGCATATTTTTAGGTTTAGGTTTAATTGAAAATTGCAGAATCTATAAGCGTAAAGAATTAAAATGATTAATGGCTTATATGATAAATTACATTCACTTAATTAAGCATAAAAAGACTTACCCGAATTAACAAAAGTTAATATTGCACAAATTACTTTTGCAACTCAAAGTTACAATTCCATAGTGAAGGTAAAAGTTTCCATACTTCTTATTTGATTTAAGAATCATACCCTTCATTGCCCCTCCTTGAATATAAATGAATTGTAATCCACTAGAAAGAATAAACTAACAAATAAGTTCTGTTTTAAAACACACTTTGTCATTATTTACCCTGCATTCATAATCATTAAGGTACAAACTTCATCACTTATTTATATTCTCCCACACGCATCTTGCTTATTCCCCGCGTTGCTGCGTTTCCATTGTTGTTGATGCTAAACGTGTAAAAGGACTCATAAACCATATAGAAATGGGACAAATTAAATAGGCCCTTTTGAATTTATAATAATTCAATTCTCTGTCTGTAATTTTGCAACCTCTACTATGCCTGCCGCCATGACACACCTTATTTGAAACACTGCCTTGTTTAAAGCTTAATGAATTAATTGACATAACATGTTTATTAGCTAAAACTGAATCATATATATCAATCATAAAAAGTTACTTAGCTAATCATTTGCGTGATGTTAATTAATATGCATTTTTTTTTGTAATACTCTAGCTTTATCAAAACTATATAAGGGGGTGTATTGGTTTAAGATTTCGTAGGATTTTAAAAGATTTTTTTTGAGTGAAAAAAGTCTATTGGTATTCAATCAGGATTTTATGTCACTTAAAAACAATCTAGTAGTATTCAATCTGGATTTTCAAGATTTTTTAAAAAGTCCATTAAAATCCATTGATATTCATTTGAGAATTTTTACAACTTAAAAATAATTCATTGGTATTAAAAAATATAAGGATTTTAAAGGATTGTTGTGTGAGAGGGATTTTGAAGGACTTTTTAGTGCTATCTATAAATACCAAATTCATAAAACAATCTCATCCAAACCCATCGAATTTTGAAGGATTGTTTGAAGTGACTTTTCAAGTGCTTCAAGAATTTTCAAGTGCTTCAAGAATTTTCAAGTGAGTTTTTCATCTTTTTTTTTCATCTTTTTTTTCTATGCTTCTATCTTATCCATTTTTTCTCTGCTAATAATATTGCACTATTATTCATTACTCATATATAATATTGTAGTACTGTTCCCATTCCATTCCCGTATTTTATGAAACTCCGATATGTAAATGATAGTGTTATTGACTTGCTCTATTTTTCTATTCGTTCTCTTTAATTGACTTGCTCTATTTTATTCTATTTAGTTGAATTTGTTCCTTTATATAGCACAAAAAATGCTTGAAATTTCAACTTTTAAGTGGTGATTTTTTTTATAACACACATCAAGAAAAAGAAAAGGTGAAAGATGAAATTGATATCATGATCTCTACAATATATATATATATATACTCCTTCCACAAAAGCTTCATCCCTCATTTTTCTTCTTTGCTCTTGGGCCTGCATAGCACTTACAAGTTCTACCAAGGTGATCTTTGACAAATCCTTAATATT